AGGACGTCCTTCTTCACCCAAAGAGTGATTAACACTTGGAATTCACTGCCACAGGAAGTGGTGGGTGCTACAAGCATGGATGGCTTCAAAAGGGAATTAGATAAGCATATGGAGCAGAGGTCCATCAGTGGCTATTAGCCACAAGGTATAGCTAGGGGCTCTGGGGCAAGTGATGCTCTGTCTTCTTGGTGCTTGGGGGGGTCAACAGTGGGAGGGCTTCTAATGTCCTGGCCCCACTGCTGGACCTCCTGATGGCACTGGTATTTCTGGCCACTGTGTGACACAGAGTGTTGGACTGGATGGGCCTTTGGCCTGATCCAACATTGGCGTCTCTTATGTTCTTATGTCCTTCTGGATGAGGTGCAGACCTTCAGCTCCACCAGCCTGTCTCAAGCCTCGATGCCCGGCACCTGCCCAACCTGTCTGCTGGGGGCTCTTGTGCCCGGGTACCCTCTGGCTCTGGGTGCCACCTGCGCAGGTTCAGCCTGAAGGAACCCAGACCCGCCCCTCCCCTTCCTGGCGCACCCCGTTTCTGTATAGATATCTGTTTATCTGTCCTCTGCCTTCCTTGCTAAGACTCCAGGTGGGTCACCCACGTTTTAATTGGTAGAAGAAAAATAAGAGAAGAGAGGTTTGATTCCCCACTCCTCCTCCACTTGCACCTGGCTGGATGACCTTGGGCAAGCCATAGATCTGTCAGGGCTGTTCCTGAAAAAGAGCAGTTTCTGTCAGAGCTCTCTCGGCCCAGGACCTCCCAGGGTGTCTGTTCTGGGGAGGGGAAGGGAAAGGATTTTGTAAGCCACTCTGAGACTGCTTTGGGTAGTGAAGGGTGGGGTATAAATCCAGTCTCCTCCTCCTTCTCCTCCTTCTCTTTCTCCTCCTCCTCCTCCTCAGCCTGAGGGGGAAAGGTGCGCCAGACCTCGGGGGATTGAGAGGGGGGCAGCTGTGGAATTCGTCCCCCTCACAAATTCATACATTCGCACGTCTCTTTCTGAAATTATAGTCCAGCAGCACCTTTAAGACCAACAGAGTTTTATTCTGGGTACAAGCTTTCGTGTGTACGGATGAAGAAGGATCTGAAGAAGTGTGCATGTCTAACTGCTACTTAATTCAAGGAGCAATATCAAATAAATATTTTTTTTTCTCTTTTTAATTAAAGAACTGAGAGAGGTCACGTCTAGGACAGTGTGGTCCCACCTAAGTTGTGACCCTTGCTTTTTATGACACTAACAATAGCCAGACGTCAAAAGACATAGTACTTGGAGAAAGGAAATACAACCACAATCCACATGCAGCCATTCAGGCCTGTTGTGTTTGAGCAGATGGGGGCGGGGGGAGGGCTCTGTCTTTCTGACTTCTGTCTGGCCCGTCCCTTGGAGACGCACCAGCTGGCAGTTCCGCTCTGCATTGGGATGGCGTCCGTTCTTGAAAGGAGCTTCTGGGATCTCTACTAAAATATGAACATGCTGTTTTAAAGACAGGAGAACTTCTGAGGCGAGACGGCTTCTGCCAGCAACATTTGCCCTGCCAATTCCCTCTGGGGAAAATCCATATCACATCCCTTCCGAATATTTACAACAGCAATCAAAATACAGACTGAGTGACAGCCAACTAACATAAGCACAACCCCCCTTCCAGTAATCAACGTACAAAATTCTCATACCGAAAGTATAAATTCTCAGTTTTCTAGAGAGGAGAACTTCTGAGCCGAGAGGTCTTCTGCCTGCAGCTTCTCCCCCCCCCCCATCCCTCCGAGGAACTGTGCTCCCCCCCCCCGTCTAAGGAATACCTCAATTCTTTAGGTTCCCCCCTAATACCCCCAACTCTTTAGCTCAAATCTGCTGTATGTTTTATCTTAGTTATACTGATGCATCTTGACTCTAATCAGATCTTCCTGGTAACTGATCCCCCCCCCTACCTGCATGTAATATTTGTGGAAACCTGTTTCAATGTATGTGAAGAAGCATGCACATGCTGGGTCTGTGTTCTGGCATGTCCCCTGGGGCTGAGCCCGGTTTGTCTTGGGGGTGCCGCTGGACTCCAGCTTCAGTCCCACACACCTCTTTTTTAACTCTTGCGTTTCCCTGCCAATTTGCTGCCATCCATGGATCTTACCAGACACCCTATCCAGTGTCAGCTCTGCAGGTGTGCACCTGGACTCTGTGTGCCCCCCCTAACTGCTTACCCCCCCACACCAGTGTTCCCTCTAAGCTGAGTTAGTGTGAGCTAGCTCACAGTTTTTTAGCCTCCGGCTCACACATTTTTGTCTTAGCTCAGGAAGGAGGGCTCCGGAGCAAATGGATTTATGCAGTAGCCAAATTGCTTGCTCACAACTTTAATGCCAGTAGCTCACGAAGGAGAATTTTTGCTCACAAGACTCCACAGCTTGGAGGGAACATTGCCCCACACCCTCTTTTTTCTTGTAACTGGCTTTTGAGCTTTCCTTCCAATCTTCCTGAAGAAGAGCCTGTGAGACGGAGCTCTTCCACCACCGGGCTTTTGGTTGAGGCAGTGGGCGTCCCCCTCCTTCTGGCCTGAATCCTTGAAGGCCTTCATATTTGAATGCCGTCTTAGCCGCCGAATCAGGCTCGGAGCCTTATCTACAGGCTACCATATTGCGCTGACTGAATGCTTAATAACACCACTGAGCATTTTATTTTGACAATGGTTGTTTGTTGGAGTTTCAAGTTGCTACACTTCAGTCATTACAGAGTTAAGTGTTGTTTGTCAGGAAACAGGATGTTGTGTTACATAATGTATTCTACGGCGGGAAAGTTTGAGGGAGTTGCTTAGTCTAATGAAGTTACCTGTAGCTTTTGTATTGGTCAACTAACAACTTGTTTGTGGAAATGCTTTGATCTAGCATTAATGTATTCACAAGGTTTATGGCCCTTTGTGTGAAACACACAGGAAGCTCTCTCTTGAAGCCGCCGGATAGATAGAAAGATGTAGCCGTTAGTAAGTAGTGCTGAAAGTAACTGTAAGCATGTAACCTTGTGTTTTATTTCTTTTTATCCAAAGTACCTTACCCATGCTTTATTTTGTTTTGTAGTAAAGATATTTTTCTTTTAACTAATGTGACTCTTGTGTTTGCAAAACGACCATCGATCTCGAATCTCAGAATCCCAACAAAGTGGTAGCAGAGGATGGTTTATTTTTGCAACACAAAAGGAGCACATTATTTTCTTGGACTGAATGAGAAAAGGCAGTGAGAGTTCTTTTTGAAGTTAGAAAGTTTTTTTGACTACGAGATTGCTGAAGCCGAACCTGAGAAAAGGCAAGCATCATCCCCGCTTCACAGCTGGAGATGAATGCCATCTTAGCCTCAGGCTCGGAGCTATATCTACAGGCTACCATCTTGCGCTGACTGAATGCTTAATAACACCACTGAGCATTTTATTTTGATAATGGTTGTTTTTATGTGTTTCATGTGTTTTATTGTTTTGTATTGTTTTTGTTGCATATGACTGTTTCATTCTGTCTTTAATTGTATTCACCTTGGCATATGTGCCTCATCTGTTAGCCACCCTGAGCCTGCTCGCAGGGAGGGCGGGGTAGAAATATAATAATAAAATAAATAAATAAAATAAAATAAACCACTATGAAATCTGGTTTCCCCGAGCGTTGACATGGTTTTTACTAGAGTTGACATGGGGCCTCGGAGTTATGTTATTTTATACTGTTTTTCTTAATCTGGTTTTAATCGTACTGCATTTTATATTGTTGGAACCCACCCTGAGCCCACAGGGGGGGGAGGAATATGAATAGGAAGGAAGGAAGGAAGGAAGGAAGGAAGGAAGGAAGGAAGGAAGGAAGGAAGGAAGGAAGGAAGGAAGGAGTGCTTTGCACTGACGGCATGCACGAAGCGTCCGAATAATAAGAGTTTCAGGTTGCTGTGTTGAAGCTATATACAGTGGTTTTATTTACAGAATATTTACAGACAGTCCATACCACCATGCGGTCTCCAAATCATAGAATTGTCTGACAAGGTGCTTCGCAGTAAACTCATTCACAGGTGTGAACATTTACATCAGGACTGTTCTCCTTATATACAGACTAGCACCAATCAGAGCCTTATGCCGACTCATGGTGACTACCAGAGGTCATTTCGGGGGGGAACGCGGGGGATCGCAGTTCCCCCGGGTGAGGTTTGAGGGGGCGGGGCACACGACGAAGCCCCGCCCCCTGCTTCCGGCCACCCCGCTTCCAGCCCTCATTCAGCCAGGAGGAGGCAGAAGAGGGAGGGTAAGTTGCTTCCTCCCCGCCTCTCCCCACCCCTGCCTGCCTGAGGCCAGGGAGGGCCTTGGCGGGGCTTCCTCGCACTCCTGCCGGCCTTGCAGGTCCACCACCGGCCCCTGATGTCAGGGGGTGTGGCATATGCTAATGAATTATGCTAATGAGTTCCCCTAGCTCTTTTGCTATGAAATGACCCCTGGTGACTACTAATTAAGCTGATGCAACCTAGTGTAATCAGTACCTGGTGACACTGTCACATGAGTTTAACCTGTCACTCAGATCAGTATGATCTAACACACTCATACCTGGCTGTCATCTTGTCCAGATATATTACAATAGACTGTCATGCACACACAAGCTTTCGCTTCCAATGAAACTCTGTTGGTCTTGCTCAGGGTTATTCCGTCCTGCACGCAAAAAGCTTCTCCCCCCAGAATCAAACTGGGCTGGCCTCCGAGGGGCCCACCCAATGCTCCCGCTAAGCTGTGGAGTCTTGTGGGCAACAATGCCTGTTCCGTCTAACGCTGAGCCGACAGCGTCTTCTGGACAGTTTTCAACGCACAGCCAAAGTAGAATCAATCACTTTTATTCAGTTTTTCACATGCATTTATAAGATTTCTTTACTCTCATCTTTGTGATTAAATTCCTTTCACTGGCTCATGGTGAAAGGGATGGTTGTCCCCACTCCTTGCCGGCTATAGAGAACAAAGGCTACAGGAAGAGAGTTGTAATTCGAACCCTCCCGCGCCTCTGTGTGCCGGATGCTGTGGGGTGTCTAACTAAAGACTTCAATTCCCAGGAACCACTGCTCTTAAAGCAATCTGGCAGTTCTGCTTAACTACAGTCTCAAACGCTGTCTGGGGGCAGCACACTCCCCGCCTGGAATCCTATGGGTTCCACTACCCACATGCATTGCTAACAAGCCTTACATCTATAACTATGCATAATTGGCATGCTACACTGCTAACTATGTTCTATACAAAATAGGACATGCAAACTTGAGTCTTCAATCTTCGAGTTCTTCTTTGGTGCAGAGCAGGACCACCTCGGTGATTGGCCTGGTGAAAGTCTTGGTCGGGCAGGGGCGGTCCTGTGGGCCATCACGTGCCACGACTCTGACATCAATCTTGCGGACTTTGTGAGCTCCTGGCATGAGAGTTGTGAGCGAGCCATTGGGCTAGGCAATCGCTTAGTTGGCTCTGGAGCCCTCCTTCATGAGCCCAGGGCTGAAAAACGGTGAGCTGGCTCACACTCAAGCAGCTTAGAGGGAACACTGATAGCCAGCCCCCGCCCTCGGACTTCAGCTTCGCCCTGCTACCACTCCCACCGACCTGGCTGCCCCACCCCATCTCTTCTGCCCCCTCCCCGGTTGCCCCTGAAACTTGGGGGGGGGGGGGGGGGCGGGTTTTCCCCAGGGGCCCGCCAGGGCAGGGGCCACGGCATCTAGAGGGGGAGGGAGAGGGGAGGGGGGCGGAATGACTCCCTTCTTCTTCTCCCTGCCCCGTGTCTGTCCCCGCAGCCGCCCACTTTCTGCACCAGAGCAAGTGCGAGTGCCGCTTCGCCGGCGGGACTCGAGGGGAGGTCCGCTTCCTGGACAGGTACATCTACGGGCGGGAGGAGTACGTGCGCTTCGACAGCCGCCGGGGGACCTTCGAGGCCGTCACCCCGCTGGGCGAGCCCGACGCCCGCGGCTGGAACAGCCGGAAGGAGCTCCTGGACAACAGGCGGGCCCAGGCGGACGTCTTCTGCCGTGGCAACTACGGGGTCGAAGAGAGAGACGGCGTCACCCTCGCCAGGAAGGGTGAGCGTGGGGCGGGGGGGCCCCTTTTCCCTCCCCATCCACAGCGGGGGGGGCAGAGGTAAAAGCCGGACCCTCTTAGGACCCCAACACCCCTTTTCTGAAACAAAACGCAGCTCAGGGAGGGACGAAAGGAAGTGCTTGGCTGCCAGAGGAGGAAGTGAATTGGTATGGGGAGGAGGAGACAACCCCCCCCCCAAACTCCCAGCAATTTTCCTTCCTCCGAGTTGGGTTCACCCCCCTGATGGGATTCTTTTTGAGTAATATCAGCAGAGTATTAAAGAGGCAGAGTCCATGGTGTGTCTAAAATATAAACGTTTACTATAACCTAACATGGGGGAAAGGAACACAGGATATGAAATAACAAAGAGCTATATGCCTACATCCTTACATCTTAAAGAGCCGGAATGGAGTCTTCTTCTCTAGTCAGAACAAAGAACACTCAGCAGGGGAAGAGAAGCCATAAAATGCTAATACTTGACACCTTAGTTTCCAATCAGAGTAACAAACTTCCTATTATCTAAATAGATTGGTTACAAACTGTTGGAATTTTTATAAAATTCAGCAGAGGATAAAACAGCTTAGCAATGCCAGAGTTCAATAATCAGACCCAGAGTCCATGTGTGTTTAAAAATATAAAAGTTTACTACAATTCTACCATAGGGGAGGGTAACTGGGAGAAAATAACAACAGAGCTATATAAGCTACATCCTCTCTCTACAAAGTACAAGACTAGAAGGCTGCAATGGCCACTCTCTAACATGCTTCTTCTCCAAGACGAACAAAGAGGGGAAGAGGGGCCATAAAATGCAAAGACACTAACTCTTTGCTTCCAATCAAACTCTCAGAACAGGGATGCTTTTCCCGGGCTTGCAGATCTAAGCTAACATTGGCTAACACAAAGGCAGGTGATTTCCTGTGACAACAGAACAGACATTTAACCCCATACACACACACTGAGTGTTTTCAACATGCAAATACCCAACACAAACAAACATGTGACTTAACAAACATCATTAACCCAGTTAATACTGAAGTGTTTTAACTTGTAACACCCAACACCCCCTCCAACATTTTGTTCCCTTCTGGGACTGAGCCCCCAAGTAACCTGGTCTTCTGCTTTGCCTTTTCAAAAAAACCCTGTCCCGCCTTTTGTCCCGGAGATACAATTTGGCATCTACCCCCCAGCCGGGGAACCAGTGCTCCCTCTAAGCTGAGTCTGGTGTGAGCCAGCTCACAGTTCTTTAGCCTCTGGCTCACACCAGACTCAGCTCGTTCCCAGTTCTCATGTCTGTGTGAAACGAACCACTTCCAGCACAGGCTCAGACTCTGTTCTTCCACTCAGTTCTTCCTCAGAGCAGATAGTCAACAGTGAAGGTACAGGATCGTCTCTCTTCACGCAAACCAGGGGAGGAATTTTATTAGCTGGGTGCTGAGAGAGAGGGAAATAGAATATTTGGAGAAATCCGTGGCTGGAGCGGCCCAATCAGAATGCTTGGAGCCGCCTGTCACTCAAAGCTCTCCATTCTTGTGGACGTTTAACTCTTCCCATTTAACTCTTCACCTCTTGAGTCCTGTTTTAAGGGCTGCTGATCACAGATGTCCACAGGAATAAACAGCTTTAAAGGGGGATCAGTCTATCAATGGCCAATAGCCATGATGACTGAGGGGAACCTCCACATTCAGTGGCAGTCAGCCTCTGCATCCCAGAGCCAGGAGGCAACATCAGGGGAAGGCCTCGGCCTCTATGCCCAGCAGTTGGCCATCAGGAGGAACTGGCTGACCACTCTGTGAGACAGGAGGCTGGACTACATGGACCCTCGGTGGCCTGATCCAGCAGAGCTCTTCTTGTGTCCTTATCAAGGGAAGGCCTCAACCTCTGTGTGTGCCCTGTCTTTGGCCCTCTGGAGGAATCAGCTGCCCACCGGGTGAGACAAGATGCTGGACTAGAAGGACCCTCACTGGTCTGATCCAGCTTGGCTCTTCTGATGTAGGCCTCAGCCTGTATGCCCAGTTGTTGGTCATCCAGAAGAACTGGTTTACCGTCAGGGCTATTTTTGGGCAGGGACGCACAGGGACGGAGTTCCAGCTGGCTTCAGAGTTGGCCACGCCCATTACAGCCAAAACTTCTGCGGGAGCGTGGCTAGAGAGGGAAGGCCTGGAGAGCGACACACACACCCCGGCGACTCCGAGGTGGGCAGGCCGGGGGGCCCTGGAAGGATCGGGGAGGCATTTAAATTAAACATTTAAATGCCTCCCTGCCCCTTCCCCGGCCTGTCGAAGGGCTGGCTTCCCCGGGCTTCCCGCAGCCGCAGGGCACCCGGACAAGCCAAGGGAAGGCATGGGGGGTGGCCTAATATGCTAATGAGCTATGCTGTGAGGGGTGTGGTCTAATATGCTAATGGGTTTCTGCTGTTGGGTGTGGCCTAATATGCTAATGAGTTCCTGCTGGGCTTTTTCTACAAAAAAGCCCTATTTACCGCTGTGTGAGGCAGGATGCTGGACTAGGTGGACCCTCGCTGGTCTGATCCGGCAGCCGGCAGGGCTCTTCTAATGCTCTTTTGAAGAGCTCGGCCTCTTTGCCCTGTCAGTTGGTTTGTAATTCTGGCTTGGAAGGCAGAGATCTTTGAAGGACATTGGGCTCTCCCACGTTCAGCGCAGTTCCACTGACCCTTGGAGACTCAGTTACACACTACTGCTGGAGAAACAAACTAATGTAGCTGGCAGAAACACCTTCTTCCATCTCAGCCTGGCCCAGAAGATGGCCCCTTCCCTGGATATGGCTGATCTGGCTACCTGGGTCCACGCCACGGTATCATTGAGACTAGACTACTGTAATGCACTTTCTATGGGTCTCCCCTCAAAGGGAATTCGGAGACTCCAGTTGGTACAGAAGGCCGCAGCTTGGTTATTACTGGGAGCTTGGTGGAGCAGGCATATGACTCCCATTCTGCCAACTGCTGGGCTCAGTTCAAGGGTCTGGCTGTCACACTGAAAGCCCTTCGTGGCCCCAGTCCCTCGTACCTTCCTATTTGGAGTAAGTAATATCTTCTCTTTAAAAGGATTTCAGTCGTGCCAAAAGAGAAATATTTCTTACCAGCATTTCCGGTGGTTCCTCAAATTCCCAATTTTTCCATCGGAAAAAAAAACCCATCGGAACCAAAAAAGTCCTTGGATAATTGTTCTTTTTTTCATGCATTTTCTGTGCCTTCTGTGGCAGAATCAGGGTCTGCATTGAGCCCCAGTCCTCTGTTAAACCTCTACGTGACTTTAATTTCTATAGCAAAGTAGAGATGAATGAATCTTTGGTTCTGTTTCCCAGGAAGCTTCGGGACTCTGCTTGTGCTGTGGCCTTCCGGTGGTACCGATAACTCTGTACATGATTTATGCCTTAGAGGATGTTTATACATTCCAGAAGTTAGTGGTGTCACTATCAGAATTAAAATGGATCGGGAATCTGAAACCAGCTTTCTTGACTCCCCCTGACTTTCTGTGAGCTCCCTGACCCCAGAGACAGAGAGAAGGGTTTGGATCAGTACATTGGTTCAATTCTAGCCAGTTCCAGTTTGGCCTGTGTCACATTCATGATAGTCATACGTGATAGGTACATCAGCAGCCATAGGTCCAAGGAAGATATATGTATGTGGCAGCAGCAACTGCAAGTTCTCCCCTTTCAACAGGGCCTTCCAGGGAGTTCAGATTGACCCTGCAGGTCAGTTCTGGGAGGCTTCCGGCCCACTGTTATCAGGCCTGGATGGATGGGGGGTCTGATCCTGTAAAGCAGCTCCTAGTGTTTGGGAAGAAGGAGGGGGAGAGAGATGCCTTTGTGTGTTTGTGTCTACAGGTTTTATGCAGGGACTGGAAGGTGGATGAGTGGATTATTGGCTGTGCTTGTGAAAGAACCCAGGGGGCTTGTGCCTTTCGAAATATAGCGGCTGCAGACACGATAACCCCTCCCTCTTCTTGATCTGTGGGTGCTTTTCTGGTTCTCCCTGTGTCCCTGAAGTTTCCCCCTGTTTCTCCCTCCTGCAGATCAGCCCACGGTTAAAATCTCCCACACCAAGGCAGGCCCCCTGGCCCACCACAGCCTCCTGCTCTGCACCGCGACAGGATATTACCCCTCGGGGGTTAGTTTCAAGTGGCTGAAGAACGGGCAGGAGCAGACGGAAGGGGTGGGGTACGCGGACGAGATCCAGAATGGAGACTGGACCTTCCTGAACCAGGCGATGCTGGAGACGGTGCCCCAGCGGGGAGACCTCTACACCTGCCAGGTGGAGCACAGCAGCCTGAAGGAACCCATCACCGTGCAGTGGGGTGAGAGACCGGGGGGCTTCCCCATTTCCCAGGGACCCACAGTCCTGCACAGTGGGTGGGAGTTCCAAGGTCCTCCGTCAGCTCAGTGAGTTTTGAGTCAGCCCAGCAGAGGCTTCCCAGGGAGGATTCTGGCTGGAAGGCCTGGTGTCAGATCCAGTGCTGATCCTGCAAAGATATTCTTATGTGTTTGGCAAGGAAGATGGAACCAAAACAGGAGGAGGAGAGAAGGGCGAAGAAAGATTTCCGAGGTGTCACTCAGTCCCCGTGGCACATCCTTGCTGTTCACCAGGGATCCCTGAACTGGATTTGTACATCCTCACATTCAATGCTCCCTCTAAGCTGTGGAGTCTTGTGAGCAAAAATTCTATTTTGTGAGCTAAAGTTGTGAGCGAGCAATTTGGCTAGTGAGTAAATTAGTTTGCTCTGGAGCCATCCTTCCTGAGCTAAGACAAGAATCCGTGAGCTGGAGGCTAAAAAAACTGTGAGCTAGCTCACACTAACTCAGCTTAGAGGGAACACTGCTCACATTACCCTGAAGGGAGAAGAAAGTCTGCGTCCGGTGGCACCTTTGAGATCAGCAAAGTTTTATTCACGGTATAAACATTTGTTTGCAGGTTCACTTCGTCAGGTACTTGCACACGAAAGCTTATACAGTGTGTGGCAAAATGGGGGCCCACCCTCAGCCCTGGGAGACTGAATAGCCGCTCTGTGGCTCACAAGCCCCTGCTTTTGCCTTCCCACCCTGCCTGGTGGGACTATCTCCTTCCTCAGTCGCTGCCACCACCCACTGGTTTTACACCGCCTTCCTAGAGGGACAGTGAGACCCCTCTGGCTGATTCCCCAACCTGGGAAAGTGGATATGTCAATCTTTGGGAGTCCCCTGGAGAGTTGGCAACACTTCCTTTTTGGGCCCGTATGGGTTCTCTGGCCTCCCTTTAGCCTCTGGCAATGTGCTTAGCGGGGAGGACAATGTTGTCAAGGCACTACCAGGCTTTAAAACTCAAAAAGATTTATTTAAACTATGTACAAGTTAGGCACAGAAAATAAACACAGGCACAGCAACAGAAGCTGGGCAGAAAATAAATATGATCTAAACGCAGTTCCTCTGTCCCCGACACACACACACCCTCTCTACCTCTGGAGATGGTGGCTGCAGGCCAGGATTTGCTTTCCTCCTCCTCATAGTTGGAGAGAACCTCCAGCCCTTCACCAGACTGGTCACCAGTACTGCCAACCCTCCTGGCCGTCCACCACAATTCACAGTGGCCTGGACTGACCAGGGAGTGCTGGTAGCAGGAGTCCCACCTGGACGCACCCCTTGAAGCTGCTCTTCAAGCTCAGGCGAAGGCCAAGACTAAAGAACTCCCAGGAGGCTCAAGGCTTCATCTGGCTGGCTCCGTTCCTGGGGTGGGTCCCTACTTTCCCACACTTTTCCCCCTAAAGCTCCTGGGAAGTGTAGGCAGGGAGGTATGGCACTTCCGTTGTTCCCTATGGAGCACTCCCCCCCCCGAAGGACCAGCAGTCTGGCAGCCATTTTAAAACTGAACTGCTGCCTCTGCTTGGCAGCCATTTTGTGACACCGTGAATCAAACTTTGTTGGTCTCAGAGGTGCCACTGGACTCAGACTTTGTTCTGCCACTTCAGACCCACTCGGCTGCCCGACCTGAATCTACTCTGAAGGCCGCTTGTGGTCCCTGCAGGCATAACTGGGAAGTCCCTTCAGCAGGCTCCCCTCTCCTTTCCTAGGAGGTCCATCGTGGTCAGGAAAGGTGCCTTGTTTGGGGAGGGGGCTGTTCTGCAGAATGGGGCTCCTGACAGCCCCCTGTAAAGCCCCCCTGGAGTCAGAAGAAGCACTCGGGGGGTCCCGGAGACCCTCTCTGTATCCAAGGACCTCCTCACTCTCTGCAAAGTACGGCTTTGTCTCCATGTTGAACAGGAAGACTCGTGTCTCGTTGGCTTTCCCCTCCTGAATCAATGACCCTCTCTCGGAGTTTCATCTGGGTATCTCCCTGTCCTCCCAGTCCAGTGCTTCGCTTTGGTAGTAGGAAGTTGACTTGCCAACCTCCAGGTGGGGCATGGAGTTCTCCTAGAATCGCAAACAATTTCCAGGCTAGGGAGATAATTTCCGCTGGATAAAATGGCTTTCTTGGAGGGTGTGTAGCCTATGGTCTTATAAACTGCAGAGGTTTCTCCCTCCTCCAACCTCCCCCCTCCCCCCAGGCACCTCCCCCAAATTTCCAGGAATCCCCCAAGTGAGAGTTGGCAACCCTCGTGGAAATGCAGCAAAGGGCCTGCGAATGGCCCACAGGGCCAACTCTTTGGGGGAGGACCACCCCCCACGCTCCCTGGGTGGTGTTGCAAGATGTGAATGGGCCCCTCCTACCTCCGGGACTGCCTCACCTGTTACAAACCCCCCCCCCAAGCACTCCCTTTGGCCATCATCCAGGGGCCTCTTTCAGGCGCCTGGCCACAGGAAGAGTCAGTGAGCTGCCACCAGGGGAAGGGCCTTCTCCGTTGCGGCCCCTGCCCTGTGGAATGCGCGCTCGGATGACACCCGGGCCCTGCTGGAATTGTTTATTCTCCACAGGGCATGCAAGCCTGAATTGCTAACGTTGGCCTTTGGAGGGCAATCCAGATGTTCGGCTGTTATTGTTAGTGTTATGGTGCTAGCCACATATTTTAATACATTGACTTTTTAATGTTAATATTTTATTTAATTATCGGCTTTTATATTGTCTTTACCTTATTTATGTGGCTTTCATGTTCTAAGTTGCCACGAGATCCCCTGGGTGAGTGGCATCTAAAAAATCTAAGGAACAAACAAGCTTGGGGACCTCACAGCCCAGCCTGGGCTCTGCGGACAGTGAGATCGGATGGAGGGGTGGGCCGTGCCTTTGCTTCTCTCATGGACCAGCCCTCCCCTTGTGAGAGCTAGAATCCGAGAGGCCCAGCCTGACCCTGAGCCATCTTTCCACACAGATTTCCTTCTCTTTCCTCAGAGCCACGGTCATCAAACTCTGCCCAGAGCAAAGTGTGGACGGGGGCTCTGGGGGCTGTGCTGGGGGTGGTCTTTGGGGCCGCGGGAGTCTCCTTCTACCTGAGGACCAGGCGAGGTAAGGAGGTGGGAACGGGTGGCTGGTGAGAGAGGGACACGGCAGGGAAGGCGCTGAAGGGGACTGGGGGTGCCCCCCGCAACCTCCCTCCCACCACCCAGGACTTTTCCAGCTTCCGTTCCCATTAAGAACGAGAGACCTGGGCTTAAGGGTGTAGTGGTGGTCAGTAGTCTCTTTCTTCCCCGGGCCATTCTGGTTTGGGTTCTGCATACTAAGCTGGTCTCCTCCGATTAGATCAAGGCCTCCCCCCGCCCCCCATCCCAGTAAAAACAAGAAGTGCTCTTAATGGGTACAAAAGAGTGAACTGGGGTGGAATATATTGCGAAGTGCAGGACTCTTGTCGTTTTTTTAAAGAATTATCATAGAGGACCCAAAGACTGAGAAGGGGGTCCTTCTGCTCCTCTGCAGGGGCCATCTTGAGGACTAGACGCCTGGTCTGGTTTGGCATTCGAGCTGGACTTCTGGGGGAGGCTCTTCATGCCGATCTTATTTGTCCTGAGTTCTTATAAAGAGGAGACTAGATAGATTCCTGGAGGAGAAGTCTATCAGTGGCTACTAGCCCTGGTGACTGAGGGGAACCTCCACATTCAGAGGCAGTCGGCCTCTGAATCCCAGAGCCAGGAGGCAACATCAGGGGAAGGCCTCGGCCTCTCTGCCCTGACGGTTGGCCCTCCAGAGGAACTGGCTGGCCACTGTTGTGTGAGTCAGGAGGCTGGACTAGGTGGACCCTCACTGGTCTGACCCAGCAGGGCTCTTCTGAAATTATTATGGGGTGGGGGAGTTCAGAGTGCTGGAAAACCACAGAAATCAGCAACCCTGAAAGGGCTTTGACCGTCTCTCTCTCTTTCTCCGTAGCGGCCCCCACGGTACCTGCTGCAGGTAAGGCCGTCCGTACATCTCCTCCAATAACTTTGTTTTTAATCCTGCCTGGCATGAAGGAACTGGCCAAAGTTTGAAACTGGTTATGCGAAGACAGTGCGGCTTTGCATTTCTTGTGGGCATTCCCTGAACACTTCACGTACAGTGTCTTCCTTCCAGCAGCCCTGTGAGGTAGGCCGGTCATGTGATCCCCCTGCCTCGTAAATGGAAGGTGTGGGTGAGAGACTCCCTCGAGGCTGCTTTGGGAGCTCAGGACAGGGTTAAGGTTCCAACCAGAAGCTTCCTCTTTCCACCATTTTAAGGTCAGGTTTAGGAGAGCTTGTGGACGGAGTTGTCCATCTCAGGGTAGAAATCCGTCTCCTCCACATGGTCCTTCACCTTCACCTCCTCCCTGTTCTTCAGCCAGGTGATGCTCACGGGGGGGGATTCCTTTGCTAGACAGATGAGCGCATTGGGCTGCCACAGCCCCACCAACTTCTCCGGGTACAGCGTCACCTGTGAGGGGACTCTAAGGGAAGGGAAAGATACACACAGAAGAGTTTCTGTTGCAGGTGTGGGTCCCAGACGGAGGCCCCCTTCCCACCTCCTGAAGGGTCCCAGAGTGAAATCTGCACTCCCTAAAGGGGCAAACCGCCCCACTCCTTAGCTGAACTTTGGGGTCCATGCCTGTGTGCAGAGGGGTGCCTGTCTGGACCCGCCTAGCACAGGATCGGCTCTGGAGACCCGCCTGCCCCATAGCAAGCGGGGCAAAAGGCAGCCTCCTCTGGGGAGGATCAGGATGATGGGCAGGGGGGAAGGAGACTGGGTTGGGGTCCCCGTGTTGTGGTCAATTGGGTCTCTGGGGAGAAATGGGGGGGGAATACCATCATTCGGCAGTAGGCAGACGGGAAATCTTCCCCTAACTGTTTGAGCTGTTCGTTGACCAGACTGTTGAAATCCAGTGTGGTGTAGGGGTTAAAGTGTCAGGCTAGTTTCTGGGAGACCCAGGTTCGAATTCCCCACTCTGCCATGGAAGCTTTCTGGTGATCTTGGGCCAGTCACGGCCTCTAAGTCTAACCTACCTCACAGGGTTGTTCTGAGGATGAAATGGAGGATGAGAGAAGGGAGCAGAAAGGTGCTTTGGATCCGCATTGCGGAGAAAGGGGGGGAATATATAAATCTCTCCCAGGGTGCAGTGGGGCCTTTCCCCAGCCAAGTAGAAGGAAGGCTTGTTATAACATTCCCTCCGCACTCCATTGCGTCCCCACCACCACCACCAGTGAACGGGAGACATTGAAACTCTGGCTTCATTCCAAGATGGTTGAAATTGAGTAGATATCATCCAGTGTGGACTGGCTTTCCCTGGGCCAGTTCCGTCCGAGTCCAGGAGTCTCTGAGGGACCAAGAAGGGTCCCACGATTTAAGCTTTCGAGAGTCAGCGGTCCCTTCTCCAGAGACCTTCCTCACGTTGGGTTTCTTCTTTTCTGTACCAGCAGATGGTGCTTTCATTGAAACGCTAAGGAAATAGTTTGCCCCAGTGGAAGAGGCCCATAAGTATTTCTGGCCTGGTGGGCGGTGGGTGGGGATCCCGCCAGACTGCCCAGCTGAGCCTTTGGTTTTGTGTCCTATTTATTTACCTTCTCCAGCCTCTGACCGTCTTTCCCCGTCTTTTCTGACAGGCCTCATCAGTTAGTCCCAAAGGAACTCCAGCCCTCACCTCTGGGAGACCTTTTTCTTTAGCAAAGGAGATGTTCATCTCGTTGTACAGATTCCGCCCCCTCCCCAGAGGTAGTCCGTGTTCAGGCAGCATTTTGACTGACTGTTGCCAAACCGGCTCTGGGGTCCTGCTGGGATTGCTGGGAAGTTCACGATTCGGGAAGAGGACCGGAGGGACGGTTCCCAGTTTGCTTTTTGTCTGATTGAGAAACTAGAATTCACAGAGTCGTCTACATGAGTCTCAGCTGAGCCCTTCAAGCCAAGGTCTGCGGAAGCCTCTTGGTTTACGGTTTATCGCACCCTTCCTCCGAGGGGCTCCGAGGAGATTACAGGGTCATTATCTCTCCTCTCACCCTGTTCCCCCCCTGGCTAGTGTTTAGGTGGGAGACCCCCCCCCCCCCGGAAGCCAGTCCAGGGCTGTTAGGCAGAGGCAGGGAATGGCAAACCAACTCTGAACGTCTCTCGCCTTGAAAAGCCTTCGGGGGTCTCCATGAGACATTTGCGGCTTTGCACGTCAGTCACCAATTCTGACATATTTCTTTGTTTCACTGTTCCCCCCCCCCCACAATCCAAACAAATGGTGACCATATAAACTTAGCTTGCTATTCCTTTTTGGTTCTCACGTTGGTTAAAACATTTTCATTATGTGTCTGCTGATTTGCTGTTCACCCTCTATTGATATATATGGACTGATAACTTCCTCTTCAATGTCTCTGAGGAAGTGTGCGAGCAACCAAAAAGCTATTACCTTGAATAAAACTTTTGTTGGTCTTAAAGTATCCTCTGGACTCAAACTTTGTTCTGCTCTACTGGATTCCCTCTCTGAAAGGGGGGGAATGGTGGCAACTGGGGGGAGGGGGGCTTCAACCTTGCAAGGGGGCTGGCAGTTTCTGGCCAGAGAGCTGTGAGGCATTTTTTGACCCTGTAACTGCCACGGTCCTCCTGAAGTTGGCGGCCAGTTTTGAATCGATTAGATTTGCATTCATAAGAACACAAGAGAAGCCATGTTGGTTTAGGCCAATGACCCATCCAGTCCAATACTCTGTGTGACACTGTGGCCAAAACCCAGGTGCCACCCCAGAAGACATAGAGAGTGCCTTTTTTTGAAAAAGAGGTGCCAGAAATGGGAAATAAAGTTTTCAATCTGTATAATGGAAACGCACAAACTTTTAAACATTACTAAAAGAATTTTGTCGAAGAGGTTCTGGAATTCCCCTCCAGAGCATTCCTCCAGGGGGAAAAAAAAAGCCCTGGAGATAGAATTCAATGAGATCTGAACACAGGGGGAAAGTGGGCAGATGTGAATTAGATGCAGGTTAACAAGGATAGGTGACGAGTTCTACATCTGGCCGACAAAAATGAGGAAGATGCATAGTAGATGGGGGATACACTTCTGGGTAGCAGGGTGTGTGAACAAGATCTTGGGGTACGAGTGGACGGTAAGCAGCCAGTGTGACGTGGCGACAAAAAAAGGCTAATGCGCTCTTGGGGTGTATCCACAGAGGCCTGACATCCAAATCGCAAGATGTCACAGTCCCGCTGCACACTGCATTGGTCAGGCCGCACCTGGAGTATTGTGTGCAGTTCTGGAGGCCTCGCTTCAAAACGGATCCGGACAGAATGGAGCAGGTGCAGAGGAGAGCGATGAGGACCATCGGGGGCCTGGAGACGAAGGGCCCTATGAGGATGCTCTAGGCTGACCCTGCCTTGAGCAAGGGGTTGGACTACATGGCCTCTTTGTGGCCCCTTCCAACTCTGTGATTCTCTGATTCACCAGAAGATCTCCCTCCAGGAATTTCCCAGCCTGGAACCCTGGCAAACCAGTCAGGCCAGGCCACAAGTGGATTCATGAAGGAGCCGGGGGGGGGGGGTTCTCTGCATGGTGACCACAGCAGGTCTCCTAGATCAGAGCCAGGTTTCTCTCTTTCATTTCCCCCAAATCCTGCGTTCCGCTTGGGTGGAGAGGAGGGCATGGGACAGCGAAACCCGAGCGCTTCTGCTGCATTCCGTCGGGTTCCAAGCGGGGGCTGTTGGCAAAGGGGAAGCCTGTTCTGGTGGGGGGTGGGTTCCCAGAGGTTCTGACTCATTGAGGAAGGCCTTTTGGCATGGGAGGTTGGCTGGGTGTGTGAGGGCTTCCTTCTGCCCCAGCTGTGCAGCTAAAGAGATCACCAGAAAGGGGTGTGTGGGGTCATCTTTTGCACTTTTAACACCTCAGACCCCCCCTGCCAGAAACCATTGAGCCCCCCCCCCGAGCTGAACAGTTGCCCTAGAAGGCCAATCAATCCGCCCCACCCCTGAGGTTGCCTCCTGGCTCTGAGATTTAGAGGTAGATGGCCTCTGTATCAGGAGGCTCTCTTTAGGCCTAATGTCAAAGAAGGCAGTGAAGAAATAATAGAGGGTGGAGTCCAAAGGTCAGGGAACACAGTGGTCCTCATGTCTTTATACTCGGGTATAGATGGGTGCCTGTCTGATGAGGACTGCGTTTCAGGCATCTGATGAAGTGAGTTCTAATCGTGCCACAACAACAGTGCAATCCTGAGCATTTATACTCCAAAGTAAAGCTCACTGAGTTCAATGGGACCTCCTCCCTCCCTGGTAAGCACACTCAGGTTCGCAGCCTGAATCTGTCAGATGCTTGCTTGGTTCGGCTAAATCAGAGTTTTTCAAGGCTGGGTCCATAAGAACTTGGGTGGCCAATTCTAGCCTCTGAAATTCCTGGAGAATTGGGGGAGGGTGGCAGACAGTGCTCCTAGAGGGGGAATTGGGAAGGGATTTCACCTATTGTTCCATAGGGTTTGCCCTCTGAAGTTGCCATATTCTCCAGGAGAACACCTGGAAATCAATTGTAATTCTGGGGGGGACTCCAGGCCCCACCTGGAAGGTGGCAACCCTAGAAAAATAGAGAGCGTGTGTTGCCTTTGAGGCTGTTTTGTACAGTCCCCAATGCCCCCCCCCCAGAGGAAGCTTCTGTGCCCGCCTGCAGGACGGACGGGAGGCTCAGAGTCCAGCCCAGGACGATTCGTCCAGAGGCAGCAGCTCCGCTCCCCGGCAACTGATGACTCAACCCCTCTCGGAGCCAGTGATTGGCTCAAACAGCTCGCATTCTGACTCTCGGAGTGTCCTGGCCGAAGCCTGAAACCAAACCCTCTTCGGGTGACGACAAGCCAGCCCTGGGAAGTCCCTGGCCCTCTTCAACGGGGGGGAAGGGTGGCTGCAAGGCACGGCCAGCCCTGCCAGGTGCTTTGCTGCCTCCTGCAAAGGCCAGCTTCCCCCCCCCCCCCCTTCCACAATTCACCAGGTCTCCTTTTTCTCCCGGGCGCCAGAACCCTTGCACATGCGTAGATCAAGATGGGCCACCGCGTTTGTCTGTCTGTAGAAAAGAGCAAGAGTCCGGTCGTCCAGATCGACGTAGAGCAGGCGAATGACCACAGCCTTCTTCATCTGAAATCCCTCCCCTCTCCAAGGTGGAAGGACAGATGGGCTCCCATTCTGGCCATCTCTGAAGAAGAGGGCAGTGACTCGCTTTTGTAACAGTTCCCGGCCTGGATCGTCAGGGATCGAGAGTCCTGCTTCATGGTTGCTTCGGAGATATGGAGACCCTCTGGACGAATGATCCTCCCGACCTGCGTGGGCCAGGCCAGCCCGATCCCATCAGATTTCAGAAGCTCAGCAGGGCCGGTCTAGTTGGGACTTGGATAGGAGACGACCGGTCCTAGGAGATCCAGGGTTGCTATGCAGAGACAGGCGAGGGCAGAGCCACCTCTGTCCAGGGTGCTGAAATTGAAGCTGAAACCCAGGAAAGGGTCTCCCGGTCAGCGTTTGCTGGCTTTCCCTGCCGCATAAATCCTGGCCCAGCCCTGTGGAAGAAGAAGCCACCCTGGACTTCTTTTCTGAAGGAAACGGAAAGTGGACCTTCCTTGAATGACCAGGCAAGGACCCCTTTCCCCACAGCAGGCTACAGACGTCCCATCACCCAACAATGTGTCCTCCCAGATTAGAAACTGCGCACTTAACCACTACCAGTGTTCCCTCTAAGCTGAGTTAGTGTGAGCTAGCTCACAGGTTTTTAGTCCCCGGCTCACACATTTTTGTGTTTGCTCAGGAAGGAGGGCTCCAGAGCAAACTAATTTATGCATTAGTCAAATCGTCCGCTCACAACTTTAATGCCAGTAGCTCACAAAGTAGCATTTTTGCTCACAAGGCTCTGCAGCTTATTTATTTATTTATTTATTTATTTATTTATACATTCAATTTGCACCCCGCTCACCCCCGAAGGGAACATTGACCACTACACCAAACTGCCAAGGGAAACCAGGTTTGTGATGCATAGGCAGGCAGTAGCAAACCACCTCTGAATGTCTCTTGCCTTCAAAACCTTTCGGGGGGGGGTCTCCATAAGTCCGCCGCAACTTGACGCCATCAGTCTCCAGTTTCGACATATTTATGTGCTTCACTGTTTTCCTCCTAGAATTGAATCCGAACACATGGTGACCATATAAACTCAGCTTGCTATTCCTGCTTGGTTCTCACGTCTGTTAAAACACCTTCATTGTGTGTCTGCTAATTTGCTGTTCACCCTCCGTCTGTATGTATGGACTGATAACTTCCATTTCAATGTGCCTGAGGAGCTATGAGTGCAGACGAAAGCTCACACCTTGAATGAAACTTGTGTTGGTCTTAAAGTTGCCCCTGGACCCAAACTTTCTTCTGCTCAGACCATCCCACATGTCTCCTGAGAAACCTGTATAAGGGCCAAGAAGTGACAGTTAGAACCGGACATGGAACAACTGATTGCTTCAGCATAGGAAAAGGAGTATGACAAGGATGTATATTGTCGCCTTGCTTATTTAATATATATGCAGAGTACATCATGCGAAACGCTGGCCTGGATGAATCACAAGCGGGAATTAAGATTGCTGGGGAAAAGATCAACAACCTCAGATATGCAGACGATACCACTCTGATGGCAGAAAGTGAAGAGGACCTCAAGAGCCTCTTGCTCAGGGTAAAAGAGGAGAGCGCAAAAGTGAGCTTGAAGCTCAACATCAAAAAAACTAAGATCATGGCATCCGGCCCCATCACTCCTTGGCAAATAGAAGGGGAAGTCGTGGAAGTAGTGACAGACTTCATGTTCCTGGGATCCCAGATCACCGCAGACTGTGACAGCAGCCATGAAATTAAAAGACGCCTGCTCCTTGGGAGGAAAGCAATGGCGAACCTAAACAGCATGATAAAAAGTAGAGACATCACCCTGCCAACAAAAGTCCGCATGGTCAAAGCAATGGTATTCCCAGTAGTCATGTATGGCTGTGAGAGTTAGACTATAAGGAAGGCCAAGCGCCGAAGAATAGATTCTTTTGAACTATGGTGCTGGAGAAGACTCTTGAG